TCAGAGTACTTGTGTGTGCAATCAGAATGTGTTTTAACAAAATAATTTTGTAAGTGACAAATGACCAGGTAAGTAAATTTACGAGTTCTATCTTTATTGAAGAAGCAGCTGTCAATGATCTCAAAAAGTTTGAACATTAAATCATCGTGGGGAATGGTTGTTTATAAAGTTGAAAAGTCGAAAGTTTTAAGAAGTTGATTTTGGTTATTTCAAAATATTACTAATAAAATGAATATATGAAAGAACCCTAACAAAAATACTTTACTATTATATAGTATCAAAGTTATTTTGAGTCAAGTATTTTTACTATGGGCTTCAGATTGTCATATCTTAAGCTCTAAAAGTAAAAATTCATATTAAGTATATCAAAAGGAGTACTTCGTGTATATTCATAGATAATTTTTTTTAATTTTATATCACTGTTATCTACTTTTAAGAGAATTTATGCTTTGAAATCTTGGAAAAAAGTTTTACAGTAAAGTATCGTAATAAATCAAAATATCAAAGTTTCCACTTTAGTGAGCTATATTAATGTTTTTGTAAAAAGAACAGCTGTCAATGGGAAAGGTGATATCATCTCATGAAGTCAGTACACGGCAGACTTGTGATTTGACCCTAATCGAATAGTCAGTTGAACCTTCAAACATGGAACTGCCTTGCTACGCTCTGAAGTGCCTCCATTTCGAGTCAAAAAAAGAAGATAAGGTGATAAAGAAATAGGAATAATTGGGAAAAAAAGAAAAAAAATCAACTGTGTTGAAATTTAAAATAAGTATTTTTCTCTTGTCCTCTTCTATAAGCTTTGAATGTTTTTATAGGAATATAAACCTAAAATATTTGAATTCATAAAGAAGTACAATTAATTTCTACATATTTATTGGTTTTTTTATTTAAAGGTATACGTATGGCAAAAAGGAACAAAAATTCATACAAACTGTACAAATTTGAAGCAGAGCAAACCTCTAAAACAAAAATTGTAGAATAAACTGCAATGAAAGAGTGGGCATCCAAAAATTTGAGAAATTAATAGAACTTGTGTAAAGAATAAGTGCATTTTTACATAGAAACTTTGTTGATGGCAAATCACCGAACAAACACTCTCAATTTAATGAGGGATTACAGTACCGACCAGACCCAACCTGACACCCAAGCAGTCCCAGAAAGCAGTCCCCGGGACTGCTTTGGGACCGCTCTGGGACTGCTGTGGGACTGCTGTGGGACCGCTGTGAGACTGCTCTGGGACCGCTATGGGACTGCTCTGGGACTGCTCTAAAAAGCAGACCCAGCAGTCCCAGCAGTCCCAGCTGTCCCTGGGACTGCTTTCTGGGACTGCTTTGTTCACTCATGTGTGAAAAAAGGTTCTGAGTGACATGATAGCTCCGCCCCCTTGTGTATTCTGAATTTGCAGGCCCCCTGTTGTTTTGTTTACTTGCAGCAGAGATGAGTTTAACCTGTTAAAAAGCAAGTATTTCTTACAATCTTTTAATAAGTAGAAATATTTATAGTTAATTAATTAATATTTACCTAGACTGTATATTTACACATATGTAGTTTAAAATAATTTTTAAAGCTGTAAAATAAGGAAGTTAGGAGAATATTATTTTTTTCTCTCCTGAATATAAGATATAAGATAAGGTTTAGGAGAAAAAATATCAACATGTAGGCCTTTTTATTACGGGGGTATTTAATGAAAAAATTAGATACTTAAAATTTGCATTGCTACTATTTAAAAATAATTATTACACTTAAATAAAAGATTTTTAATTGAAAAAGGAACATGTTTTTAACCCTCAAATAGAAAACCTCACAATTTATTAAATGACCATAAAATAAAATTAATAAATTAATGCTACCATTCTTCCGTAGCATAAACAATGTGGATAATCACTGGGGAAATTATTTATGAATTACTGGTAGTTTTTAATTTATAAACAAGTTATTAAAAGAGTACATTAATTTTAAAAATAAACAGTTGAAAATACCGGGAATTGTGATTTATTTCTTTTTTGTTTTGCTTCTGTTTACCTGGCCGATTAATGTGTATAAAAATGGTATCAACACTCGCTGTTTTAATTGCCTTTGGGCAGAAAATCAATTCACGTTATTTGTGTATACATAGCAGCGTTTCACATCATTGAACATGCTGGTCAACAATGACCCTAATTTCAATTTATGTAAAGCAAAAATAAAATTGAGAAATGAAATGTGTATGAATTTCTTTCAGGATTAATTAATTTTGAACATAATCTGAGGGTTCCATTCTGGTGATTTACAGATATACTCTCTAACATTTACAAATAATAAAGCACTTAAAACTTAAAGCACAGTATTATAGAGATAGAGAAATTTAAAATAATTAAATTGACATGAAAGTAAAAATAAGTAAAAATAATCATTTTAATAATACTTAGCAAAATTAACAAAGATTTTTTTTTTAAAAAAAGCCCCAATACTTAAGAAAATTTATTAGAGTATCCCGATAGTATGGAAATTGGCCATATAACTATAAGATCTATTTAAAGCTTGTTCTGGTGGAAAATAAATAATTCACGTTTAATTTTCTGTAGAAAAAATTAATATGGGAAACAGTATCAATCATAGAAAATAAAGAATTGGAATTATTTGTATACCAGATAATTGTGATTAATTTTAATTACTTATATATATAATAGATAATAAATTTGAATTTTAATGAATTTTAATTTGGGACTGCTCTGGTGTAATATTCATGTTCAGTTTAATTCTATACATGTAGGTGTGAAAGATTTCTTCCTTTGATAAATATTATTCCAAATTGGTTCTCTGCGAGTACTGTTAATAAATGACCTTCGCATTCATGTAAGGATTCCTGGCATACTACCCAGAATCAATTTCAACTGCCTTTTATAATCCCATTGTTTATTGGAAATATCATTTCTGAGTTAGCTCCGCCCATTACATTAATAAACCCCGCCCTCTGGGACTGCTGGGACTGCTCTCTGGGACCGCTGGGACTGCTGAGACCGCTCTGGGACTGCTGTGGGACTGCTGTGGGACTGCTCTGGGACTGCTTTTGCAGTCCCAGAAAGCAGTCCCCGGGACTGCTCTGGGACTGCTTTGTGTCAGGTTGGGTCTGGTCGGTACTGTAGTTATTCTAAATCTCAAAAAACCAACTGCTTAGTGTCGTTCTATTCGGACTTTTTCATAACCTCAAAAGAACAAGTAACTATCCCTAATTTCAGGGATGTTAGCAAGGAGTAAGACGTTTAGACGAAATGTTACGGCCATTGCTAGCCAGACCAACCCTTAGCAGTAAATTGCTTGTGCAAGGACTACTCTAAATAGACGAAAAGTGTGCAAGACTAGCCATTATCAGTTGAGTGACGTGAATATTATTTTATATGACATGAATGACATATTATAATGAGTATGAGGATCTTGCGGATCTTGGAATCGATGAAAGCAATGTTCCCTTTTTTGAACATTTTTGTAAAGGATAATGGTCGTTATTTCATTCTAAAATCAAAGCTGATTGAAACATTTCTTAAGATTATACTAAAATCCTAGGCGATCCGGGAATTTTATCCAAGGAATTGAAACAGTATTAACTTCTCCAACATTTCTTGGCATCCATACATACAGAAAAATATTTGCAGTGAATTTTTCCTGTTGTGGAGCCGAAGATTATGCTGAAATACTAGTCCATTCTAAAATTTTATCAAAGAAATTGAAACAGTAGTAATTTTCTCAAAATTTCTTGGCATCCATACATAAAGAGAAATAATCGCAAAGACTTTTTCCCGTTAGGGAGACGAAAATTTTTATTTTACTTATATTTTCTTCATGATAGTAGATTTTTTAGGTTCTGGAAAAAATTTTGCAGACACCGTATATTTTCAAGAATTTAAAATATATCCTGTGTTTGGCAAAATGCTGTAACCACTGCAGCACCTTGGAGACCATATGAATAGAAGAATTATTTGATAAAAGATCAAACGTTGTCAAAATATATACATATAATTGTTGAAGTTTTTAGAAAATATATGGTTCCATTCAGTAGATTTTATTTACTTACTGGTAATTTCGGGGCAACTCATAGCACGCAGCGTTTTACATGTCTAATTTTAAGTATGTTTTATTTAACCAAAATAACCAAAAATGAAGAAATCAGACTCATTAAGTAAAGAAATTAATACATGGAACATGGTTAAATGAAATCAACTAATAATCCGATGGCTACATATTTCCGCTATGGTTTATGAATGATTCCATTCATTTGTAACATTTCAAATTAATATCTTTACTACAATTAAATGCTAATGCATCAACAAAGAGAAAAAATTTCTAGCATAGTTTGACTAAGACTATTAATAATATATTCTGTGAATATTATTGAAATTCCTGAAGTGATACATGTACATGTATCTTCAATTGGAAAGATTTATAGACATAAAAGTCAACAAAAGGACACGGTTTTGATTAGTAATTCCTTATACATAATTATATTTATTTTGCATTTTTTCTCTTTCTCTAAATAAAATATGTCATACTCTTTTAAAATGTAAAACAAAGTTAAAGCAGATGTGCCCTTAATGAATTACCAAGACCTTGCGTGCTTTAAATGTTTTTTTTGGTTTCACTTTATAATGCCGTGCTTTGTTATGAATGACAGCCTGAAGTGTGGAAAATATTGAAATATTATTCACACCAAATGAGATCCTGTATTATCGAGTACAGAAGAAACGAACAGGTAGTCACTTCCTATATACTTTTATAATTACACATTTTTAGGGTTCATTGTAAACTAATAACTCAGAGAATTCTTGCTGTTCCTCTCGAAATGGAATTTATTTTTTCTTAATTTTGAATAATTAAATTTATTAATTTTTCAAATTTAAATAATCAATTAATTTTTTATTAAATCTTAATTTTATATATTTAAAGGAAATGTATAATATTATAATATAATGAAAACATGAGAATGAATTTTGAATCGATTTTCGTCAATGTCTTTTACAGTAATATGGCAAGATTCCACATTTTTCTCGTTTTGTTTCTGATGTTTGGTCTTCAAGCCTCATGCAAGGATTGCAGAACTCATTCATGCTTGAGAAAGCTGTACAATTCAAAAGTTGTCCGTGCAGAGTACTGGATAAGGTAACCAAAATTGCAAATTCTATAGCACTTTTTTTTTACTTTAAACTAGTAAGTTCAAATTTACAACCAACGTGATACCGTTATCAAGATATCATGATTTCATTCTTCCCAAAGAGTATTGCAATGTAAAAAGCAAGATCTGAATAACAATCAAATGGAGGTGGATTAACTGGGGTTAACAACAAAAAAGTTTCGTAGAGTTGTTTAATTTGTAAGTGGTAATTTTGTTTCTTGACATCGTAGTTTCGCCATGTGAGATAAAGAAATCATGGCATCGTAAACATTGGTATACTTTATTTATTACAAAAGAAACGAATCTTTGATATCAGATCTTTGAGTGGGTCGGGAAGTTCCGGCAGCTCGGGACCATCAAGTGGAGGTCGTGGTTGGTGGTCGTCGAGGAAGCGCAGCTTTGACTATAACTATCATTTCCGCCACACAGGAGCCGTCGTTACTCTAAAGAACAGAGAGCGATGGCTGATTCACAAGGGATCAGATTATGGTGATGCATATGATACTGTCATTACTGATGCTAATTACATGTCCTCAAGGGTAATTCTTGGAAATATATTCTCTGAATTTTATTTCAAAATATCTCTATACTTCATTTTCGGTAATTACAACCGATTGACCTATTAAATGTTGTGTTTCTGTACCGTAGCAAGGTATATTATAGCACTGGTTCATCCAATGGTTTCAATTGTAATCAAATCATTATTAATTATTTTTGTACTTTAAACTTCATGAACGTACATCAAATCTTCAAATGCTAAAGAGCCTCAATTTCTTTGTTTCGTATGAAATTGATAAAGTCAAGAAATTTGTCTTATTTAACTATGTACATAATGAATCAGATTGCATTTGTTTCGAAGGTCAATACAGAAACATTTGAAAGATTTCAAAACCGTAATAACGTTTAATACATTCACCGATTTGGACAAATAACTTGTTCATTATTTATTAAAGGTTTGTGTAATTTACAGATGGAATCGGCGTCAAAGTTGGTGGGTCGCCAGATGTGGATACACAGTCAACACGTTTATGCAGAATGCCCTGATATCAAGACCATACAAACTGGTTGGGGCTAGCTGTCAGACGGCAGCAAACAGCATGTGGAGACTGGTGGAGAGGTGTAACAACTGACAAGCTAACATACAACCATTGTTATTTTTTTTAAAATGTAATTGAAGTAACAAAAATAAATCATTAAAGTCTGCAAGTTTTTGATTATTACATGCATTTTTTGTGATGTAAATCTGAAGGTACCAGTGGCATTGAACAAATATGACGAAAGCATTTGTATAGAAATATTGCAATCACTATTGCAGTGTTTGTGCTGTAAGGAGGTTTACTTTGGGACATCGAAATCCCCCAACAAGTCTAAGCATCGTCTCGGTTTTAGGCCTAGGAATTGGGCTAAGATTCCTACTTTCCCCGGTATAACATTGATTTTTGAAAATTGTTCTTTCTGTGTACACAAGATGTTTTGATTTTGTTAAAAAAATAACTAAAGTTTTGATTTAAAGGGTACCAGACGAAATAAAAACTTATAAAAATCCCAAATTTTACTATTTATGTTTGAGACTTAAAGGTCAAGTACGGTAAAAATAGATCTTAAAAATAATGTTCAAAATTCATTAAAAGCATTAAAAAAAAGTTGATGATGTGTTTGTTTAAAAAAAAAACCCGGTATAGACGCAATATACCTGTTCAAATATCGTTATTTATAGACATGAGCGATAGAGTTCTCGCTCTTTTTCATGACGTCATCAGAGACAATTGCTGTATAGGCGCTATTATTATAAACAAGAAGGATATGGAGATAACGAACAGTATTCAATCTCAACGTCCATTAAACAATATACAAAATAAGAGCAGAGCAAACACGGACCTCTGAAACATCAGAGGTGGGATCAGGTGCCATGGAGGAGTGAGCATCCCCTGCCGACCGGTCACACCCGCCGTGTGCTCGTTGTCATGATCAGGAAATAACGGAAAAAATCCGTCGTCAATTCAGTGTATAAATAATGGACTAACAATTGGTATGAAAGACGTCAGTCAGCATATGACTCAATGATAACAACCAATAACTGATTAAAATGAATAGTTTTAACGCTGAACCGTGTTATTGACGGTAAACTCGAAGACATACTTAAGTTTACAGATTCAACCATTTATGTATGAGCCCATTACGAAGCAATCATAATATGTTAGGCCTGCCTACATGGACCCTATGTCATCGAAGTAAGAATCCGAAAATAATGAAAGTAAAACGGGAAAATCTCCAAGAAGCAATGGTTTGTTGTGTTTTTGTGTATTGAAAAAAAATTTAAAAAAAGATATTCAAAAACGTTCAACATGAAAATCAAAACCTTTAGGGCATCATTTGCATCTACATGTATGTAGAATACATTGTTTTGTTCGTTAGATTACTAAATAATAAACTAGTAGACTTGATGAGTATATTGATATTATACTGTGAAACTATGTAAACAACTATTAGTCAAGTTAAAAGTGATCAGAAAATAACTCTGTGGCCGCTTGTGGTTGCTTCAAATCGTCCCCCATTTCAAAATAATTTTTTAAAAAACTAAATTTTCAGCATGCGAACATGTCTCATTTCCGAAATCCAAATAAACAACAAAAGAATCTTGCTATAGAAATTACGATGGCTGTTAAAAAATTACGCTGACTGGTTGCACAGAAGAATAAAATTGACGGCATAATCAGGCAAAATGTCACATTAAATATAAACGATTCTTTTTACCTAATATGATCTTCATAATTTCATATCAAAATGTTGTAAAATGATATCAGTTTTTACCGGCCGCCAGGAGGCGGTCGGTTATATGATATGAAAGTTTTAAGTCGCTGTGGGTTTCTGCGGAGCTAACAATTTAAATAAAAATATTCAACATCATATCGCCGGCGTTTTAATATTAAACAAAGATTTCTAAATGTTTAGGAAAAAGCACAATAATCGTAAAATTCAATTTTATAAATAATGGGGTAAATATTTCATCCAATCCTGATTGACAAACTCTGATATAACTGAAGTGCGGAGAAAATTAGTAGGAGTGTTAGGCATAGTCTAAAACAAAGACCGCGTTGTAAATCAACAATTTTACATGTGTACTTTCTCTTTTTAAAACAGGATCTGCTGTATTAATTTGAAATGAAGTGTATATTTAAACATTTCCTGCGGATGTTTTTCAAAAATATGATGAAATATTGATTTCTTAAAAGCAAAGAATATTACGACATGTTGGTCCAGGAGACTAGGATAGAGCGCGTTTTACAATGTGCCAAGCATTTTCCCGCCACATCTCAACACCAAAACAAAGAGATTGAAAGAGAAGAAATGTAGTGGTGGATCTTGAAGGAGTTGTGGGGGGGGGGGGGGTTAACATCCTATAAGAGAGAGCGAGGAGCCCCACATGTTATATATTTGTTGCGTTTTTATTAAGGTAAAACTATAGCTAAATTTAAACTTTAGTTTTGTACTTTTAATGTAAAAACTACTTAAACAGCAAGTTGTACCAAACTGAGTGCAGAGACGCAGAGGACTATGCATAGTTTATATTGCCTATACATGTAATATTGTACATGTATTATGCAATCGGCAATGTCGCATGCATTTTGTTTTCATGTCACGAGGATATTTTAACAGATAAATATAAGAATTTTTTTAAAAACAGCAAATTTCAGTTTCTGAAGAATTTTTTTTTAAAAACAGCAAATTTCAGTTTCTGAAAGGAACTTCAACAGTTATATAAATTGGTTTGCGGCCGATTTTTGACGCTTGCGTCAATATGTTTCTTGTTGGTGATTTATCAGGCTATATCATAAAGTTATGGAGCAGCAAAATCTTCGTCGTCAGAGCATTATAAAAAAAAATATTAGCTTTCATTTTCTCAACAATTTCCCAATAGTTCCTGTTAAGCTTTAGTTACCTTATCTACTCAACATCCATACACTATTTCTTGTCAAGCTTAAAATCTATTAAACAAGTAAATCGTATTCTTAGTTTTTTGTTTAAATACCAAAAACTGCAGGTTTATATGTAAGAGATATAGTGTGAGATTTATTTATTGGTCACTCTATTTTTACAGTCTGGATAAACTTTTCGCACATGCGCCTGAAGTATGGATCGATAACCCCCCCCCCCCCTCTGGCCAATTCATTACCGAATTTTTAATAAAAAAAATATCTCAAAAATATAAAAACTTCCCCGTCAATCACATCTATATATCGTTCCGTTCTATGCAAACAGATTGTGCGTTTTTCACGTTTAGAGAATTGCCATACTTCAGGCGCCCGTGGGTAATCCCCACCAGTACTAATCCCTCTTCCGTATCACCATAGAAACCTATAACCATGCACCAACCTTCAGAGGATGTAGGAACTTCACATAGAGAACTATTAATAAACCTTTCTCGTGACTTTATGTCCTTCATTTCAATACACATTCTCATGCCATCCCCCTCCCCAACTTTTTGTATTGTAAAAAACACGTAATTTTACTTGTACCTTGACGACAATATGAGTGAATTTTTTGGTTTTGAACACATACTCTGTGCAATCGCCATTTTCAAAATGAAAAAAAGTTTTGTGATTTCGGAAGATGTATCGGTATTGAGCACCCGACAGATAGAAAGCAGCAACAGTCTTGAGATGGAATTTGTTGCAATGTAGCGATTTTATTGAACTCCTGTGTCTTGTCTTAAGTAGAGTGTTTTGAAAAATAAGATGAAACAAAGTAAATATGTTTTAATTTTTAATACAAAGTCCAAGTTAACTAAAAAAAACTTAGAGTTAAGAACACAATCCACTGTCTGCATTTTTTTTCAGTGCAACTCCATAAATCTCCAGTTCCCCGGTAAGCCGGTGTCATACAAAAAAAAAATAAAAAAAAAAAATAACCAGACTGGTATAACATTAATTGATCTGGTTTGAAATAATAATGCGTATGGTCAAAGTGTTTTCCAGATACGTGTGTATTTTTTTTCTCTACTTGCTCACAGATAGATTAACTAAATATTATAAATTCATGTATTAAAATTTTGCGGATGTTTGTTAATGCACTGTACACAGACGATGTGGTATACTGTGTGCTCTACCCACAGGCACATGAAGTATGGATAATACCCCCCCCCCCTTTTTTTTAATGAAAAAAAATTGTAAGAGTGTTTAATATCTCAGAAATATAAAAATTTCCCCGTAAAAATACCGAATAGGGTAATTCTTTAAACGTGAGAAAAAGTACAATCTGCTTGCATATAACGACATATAGATGTGTTTGACGGGGAAATTTTATATTTTTGAAATGTTAAAGACCCTTACATTTTTTTTTCATTAACAAACAAAAAAAAGGGGGGGTATTATCCATACTGTATACAGGGAAATTTTCGCCCCCGTTTTATTTTCGCCCCTTTCGTCCTCTTCTTCATTTGGCGAATTTAAAACGGTGCGAATTCAAATTACACACCATAATTTCTTAAACATAACTATGACTGGGCGAATTTAAAACGGGACAAAATTGTTCGTAAAAGCAAATGGGCGAAAATTACACGGGGCGAAAATAACCCTGTATACAGTACTTCAGGTGCCTGTGCTCTACCTCTTTTGGGTCGTTCGAGAAAAGAAATAAAACTTAAACACTCTGTATATATTTTACATAACAGTTTAAAGCTGCTCACTGCACCATAACCTTAGAAAGGATTTTTAAAAAACACATGTATTAAACGACCAGTTATCTCCTAATCTGTCTTTTTCCGAGTCTCGCTCAGTCACTGCATTCAAAAGTTGTCTCTGATGACGTAATACGTTATGGGCGATAACTTGAGTCACTAAAAAATATTGATAGCCCAGGTAAATTTTAATCGCGCAGCAGTAGTCATACCAGGCGGTTTTCAATTAAACAGCTATGGGAATATAAATCATATGAGACCGGTTGACAATTATGTATATATTATGTATATATTATTCCAATTTTACAAAAATATCCGTACTTGACCTTTAATGATACTCTGCTAATCTTGCTGATAAATATTGTTGTTTTTTTTTTGTTTCTGATAAATACTGATTATTTACATATACTATGGCTGTTAAGCTTGAATACTGATAAATAGTTGAGTCCATAC